TGAATGATAAGAAATTAGATGGTGATTGAAATGTCTATGCGCGCGCTCGTGTGTGTGTGTAGGTTCCCCACCACGCTCGTTCCACAATCGATCAAATATCATACGTACAGTTAGTAGTTAGTGGTTATATGTATCACAAAAACAGATAGAAGACAACAATTGACAGAAAAAAAAGAATATTCGATGAAACTTCTTTTAAAGATACAAATTAAAATTTATCAATCAGAATGAGAAAAAAAGGATGAGAGAACAAAAAATGGAAGGCAGAGTGAGTAATTTTAAAATAACTGAGAGAGTAGTACGCCTCTTTATATGACTGACTAATTTATCAGTGACAAAGTTTTGCTCAAACCTGCGATGGATGCGTGGTTCCAGTAGTCTCCCCCCAACCAATTTTATTTTATTCATGTATTATAAACGAAGCAAGAAAGTTGTGAGTGAGTAGCACCTTCATAGGATTATGAGCAGTAATAAATTGTGCTCAAAACATTGTCATCAGTAAATATTACTGTATAACAAACATACACTGTGTGTGATTTTATCAAAATAAAATTTTATCCATAATGGAATTATACTCTACTACAGTGCTTAAGTTTTATTTATTTTTTTTATTTGGTGTGTCTCAGTAGCATATTTATCACTTCTGCCCTGTGACACGGCAGCAGGAAGCGCGGTCGTTGTTAATCCGGGCCCCGACCGATCCGGCATGATATTTTGTGATTTTGTTTGAGTCATGACATTGGATTGGGTAGCTGCTTTTTATCTAACGGCTATCCAAACAACCTTTCTGGCATGGTAGGACCTACAGGAACTTAAGTTCCAGCCAGTGTTGGGTCATTCCAATATGCAAGCCCGACCACCACGTCAAGGTAGCAGCTTTCGGTCGGGGTTGGGGCCCTCGGGACTCTAAGAATCAATGGCTGGAGACAATAGGTGACATGGCTCAAAATCGTTGTCAATGGCGCAGATGTATTCAGTCTCTTTAATCTTTCATATTCCTTTCTACCATTACTCATTCTGTTTATGCACAGTAAAGTTTTCACATAACTGCACATTTTGCATGATATCAGTTGACAAGAGGTTTCGGAATTAGCGAACAGTGCTCAGAAAATTACGCTTATTTAGTTTTTTACACAGGCAGTTCAAGTTTAAACAAAGTAAATGTATGCATACAAAGGTAAAGGAGTTACGTAATACAGACGAGAGATGTATAAGATGCTGAGTGACTAATAAATTAGGTAACAATGTGTACTGAGTTCAACTCAAATCATAGAAACAAGAGACAAGCAAAATTACACTATATCACTTGATTACGTAATCTTTGGCTTTAACCTCACCCCCCTTTGAATTCAGACTTTTTGTCAAAGGAGTTAGTGGTGATTCAGTAGGCTTCAAACATATGATAACCATCTCAATCGATAATCTATTAGACTAGTCAATAGTGAAAAACATGAACAGTCGTCAGTCAAATTAACAAAAAAAATTTAACCACTCTCATTTGGAGCCAAGATAAATAGTTCGCTAAGTGAATTGCAAATATACGTCTTTCAGAATAAGCAGGAAATGAACAGGTATATAAAAATCTAAAATTAATGACAACTGTGGTTCCTTGTCTTGGTAGGGAATTATAGTGTGGATTCAAAGAAATAAACAACAAAAATAGATGCAAATCAATGAATGACACTCGGATCACCGTAGTTAAGTGAATAGCTCTTCGGCGTTAAGAACGACGCGTAGTAAGTTTGAGTAACAGTGAGAACATCCTAACTCAGTGGGATACAAATAAGCTCAATGGGTGAGTTACGAATTCGAACAAAACACGTGCGGACATCAATCAATACCAAAGAAGTAACTTCGAGTAAAAATGTCTATGCCATATCGATGAATCTGTTTCCAGGATCCCCATATACACAAAAATTAGGCGCATTATATTCAGTTAAGAAATACTGATGAAAAATGGTAGTTAGCACTGAAGATATTATCTAGAAAGTCGATGAACACTTCACAACTGAACCACCCAAATCAGAAAGCCCGACAACATTTAAAAACCATCCACCTGTGCTAAAAATATTTCTTCTTCAAAGGAGGGATTTTATTTGTTTTGATCACGGATTGATGACATCAGTTAGAGAACCATTGAAAATCACAAAGGAGTACTGGACAGTAGCCGTTTCGTCCTAGTTTGGGACTCATCAGCAAATCACGAAGTGGTACAAGTTAGAATTCATACACCATCGAGTCAAGTCCCAGTGGCTAAATGGTCTACCATCTTGCCTTATAACCGAAAGGCCCTGGTTTGAACTCTAGTGAGTATGTACTGCCAATGATTCTCAAACTAGGCTGACTAAACAACTGTCCATTACTGGTTTTTAACGGTTCTCTAACTGAAATATTTTTGGCTATTATTATTCGAAAATTTAGATTTTATTATTTTAATAACATATCTAAAGAATTTGTTAAGAAGAAACGAAATGTATCCTTATTATTATAATGAATGAGAGATGTCAGTGTTTGTTAACTCGTCTTAAGCACACACACACACACACACACAATCATACAGAAGACTTTTTAAAAAAAACCTTTAAATAAGTTAAATTCACATGAGAATCACTTTCACAAAGTGATGAATTGTTTAAACAGTAATAAAAATACTTGAAATTCTTTCAGTAGGTCCCGATGATTAGTCATTTTAATCGAGTAAATAAATAAATAAGTAAATAAATATCTGTACACATATTTCAATCATTCTCTCACTAACAAGGTTAGTTCTTGATGAAATCTATGGGTGAAATTACTCAAAGTCCCTATCGGAATGATAATCTCCAACAGATTAGTAGCTGTTGAATGGATGAGAAGCCTTCGCTGATGAGATTCACCAACTCACACAATGTGAAGTGGATATTCATCAATGGAAGAAGAAGATAGAATTCACAGGCCACAATTATATATGCTTCATAAGGCGAAGGCCTTGAATTCAATCCCTGGTGGGTGCATTGTCCTGAAGAGTCTTATAAAAACTAGGACAAAACAGCTATCTATTGCTCTCTAACTGAGGTCAGTCAGTTCATGACGAAATATACATTGTTAATAAATTAACTCACTGACTGCCAGTTTTCTTTTGAAATTTTTTGTTATTTATTTCATTATATTATTTCTTTACATTCAAAAGTGAGCTTTAAAGTTCCGGTAGCAGTCATTTTTTTTATTTTTACGGTGTAGGGCTGCTAATCTCACACTAGCCCGACCTTCCTTCTTTACCGGTCTTCCTATTGGCTTAGAGAAGTATAGGGGTGCATCGGCCGATAATCACACCCCGGACCACATGAGGCGTGGTTGGCTAGCACTCTGCCGCTGAACCACCGACGCCTCTTTTACAAAAAAGTTAATTTCAGAAAAGGAGGGATGTGATCTAGTGGCCGAAACCATTGACTTTCAACCTGCAGATTCCATGTTCGAACCCTAAACCATCTACTTGAACCGAAACAGCAACTGGTTAGTTATCACTATCAGCCACACAATAAGTGTAAAAAGACCTATTCCAAGTATTGGGTTCAAACGAACAAAATTTTTGAGGAAAGGAACAAAATTATTCACCTATACAATTGGACACTACGTAGTAACTACTGTAGTGTGTGTGAGTGTGTCCTATCTTTGGTGCAGACTGAATTCTATTAGTCAAGTTTGCAAGGTGGCCACCATGCCACTCTAGGTGCCTGGCCATCACGGTGAACTTTGAATTGTTGATATTAGATCGCTGGAGGCAATCGTCAGGAAGCCTTAGACCCCGGCTTTGTGCTCAGTGCCACTCACCAGTCAGCCAGCAAGGCGTATCTGAAACCTTGAAGGAACTCATGTCCCTTCTGAGATTCGAACCTGCGTCACCAACCAATGCTGTAGACAGAATTCAGTCTGCACTGAAGATAGGAATAGACACACACTAAACTAGTTACTGACTAGTGTCCAATCAAAAATATCCAATACAGCCCTACAGGAGGTCAATCGCAAGCCCGAATAACTTGTTGCTGACTGCAGATGGCACTGGGTGACGCGTGTTCGAATATCAGAAGGGAGATGAGTCCCTTCGAGGTTGCAGATACGCCTTGCTGGCTGACTAGTGACTGCCAACTAGCTCGAAACCTAGAGATCTTGGTGGGGCTTCCTGTTGCCGATTGCCTTCAATCATCTGATATCAACAATTCTCCAGTATTCAATGTATCTTCATACCGACGAGAAAATTAATACATTCAAGTACAGGGTGATATTTGAACTAAATCAACTTGGCAGGAATTTTATACATAAATGTTGGAGAGGAAATTCACACCACAGATAGATTTTTTTCTGTGGTGCTGAATATTTTAACAATGAATTTACCACTGAACCTATTTGGTGTCTAGTGAAGCTTAAAAATGAACACTACTCAATTAAATTATCAAACGCATAGAATCTATCAACACCCAAAAAGTGTGTTACTGATAAATTAGAAATTATAGATCAGAAAGAAGCACGAAAGGAACACAAGACTTCATGTATTCCTCAGTTTAATGAAGTGAAGTGAGGTGAACTGAACTGTATTCTCAACTGGGAACTTTTGCACAAAAGGACAACAGTTTAATTTACCATACTCATGTGGCACACATAAAGACAGAAAAGAAATACAAACAATGACTACAGTTAGAGAACCATTCGAAAATCAGCTGGGAGTACTGGACAGGTATTTCGTCCTAGTTTCGGACTCCTCATCAGTCCACACCCAATGGAGTTCGAATCCAGGACCTTCCGGTTACAAGGCGAGCTCAAAGACTAATGTAACATGAATTCGAACTTCTGTCAGCACAACCACCGGCCAATATCATAGACGAGTAACTGATATCTTAGTTGACTTGACGGATCCTACTTGTTAGAACCTCTCATTAGAACTCCAATTCTAACCAATTCCAACTTCCCCGGCTTACTCAATCTAACCTAGACAACTCAAATTTCACGTGAATTTATGTGTGTTTTTAGAAGTGACAAGTGAGAAAACCATTCCAATTAAATTTAACAAAAAACAAACTCACCATAGCTGCTTCTCCATCAAGCCATGACACCAGATTATTCCCACCGAATGATGCATCTTGTAATAACCATTCACCAGTGAATCCAAGCAACTGGCCTGTATACACAATAGACGCCTTTCCAAGTGTTGATGGTGTAACAGGATATTCAACAACTCCGTCGCTATTGCCTAGTGCATGAGTCAGAGCTTCTTGTAGACCGAAACGCAGCTGTTCAGAGGTTGGATTGAATAGCACACGAAGGAGAATATTTTCACTTAGGGCATACTCGACAGTTAGACCATCTAAACAGAGAGAAAGAGAGAGAAAAAGAAATACGATGTGAAAGTCGAAACAACGCGTTTCTTTTCTTTTTAAAAAGCGTAATTAAAACATTTTGAAAATATAATATATAATGAAATGATGTCATCATCAATTTCAACAAACCTTAGATTCTACACGAGAGTGTGTTTTAATGCAACACAACGAAAATGTTCTACCAGTTTTAAAGCAAAGGACAAGAAGGTGGGGAACCAATATGTCATTGTAGGCAATAGCCTCTGCTGTTTGGAGTATGGACTGCTTCGACGATTTTGGTAGTTTGTTAGGCGCCCGGTATATTATAGAAAAGGATTCTTCCACGCTGGCTGGCTTTGTGACCGGTTTGCACCAGATCGTCTAATATCGAGCTGTTAATGGTTTTAACTACACCTTTACTTAGCCATATTGGGAGATGTTCTCGAGTGAGCACGAAAAATCAAGTTCCTAGAGCAACCAACGGCCAACATAACTCGCTCCACCACAAGCGCAGTTGAATTGATAAATACAATTTGAAGTGGCTAGCTAGTCTAGGTACTTCATCTTTCAGTCGAGGTAGCACCATCGGTCGTGTAGAGAATAATACGTGGCTGATCTTATAACACAAACACACACCCCAATTGAACTACTTTCAATGCAGATAAAATCGCTTACAAAAAAAAATCGAATCAGTGGAACAGACAGTAGATATATACATTGAAAAAAAAATTGTCTATGGAGAGAATCGAAAAAAATTTCTATAAAATGCAAAAAAACAGAATGATCAATATATATATAGAAAAAAGGGAAAAGAGGCGTGCATTTATGAACTAGTTATAAAGAAAGGAGGGGGGAGGTGGAAAAGCAAAACAAAACGTTGACAGAGAAAATGAGAGAGCGAACGAGCAAGAGACAGAGACAGAGAGGAGGGAGCGGGGGAAAACGCGAAAAGTAGTGATAACCGAAGAGAGAGGGAGAGAGACATTATCCATCCCAATAATAAAATAACAACTACAACAATAACGACAAACAGAGAATTTATTCGAACAAGAGGTGAAACAAGGGTAAAACAAAATTTGTCGTCTATATCCCAAAAGTAAGTGGAGAATAGAGCAAAACGCATATACTAGGGGAACGTATGGATAGATAGATAGATGGATTCAATTCTTCTCTCTGTGTACTGGCGCCAGCAATTGTATGGAATTGGCAACAAACAACACCAAGGTGGACAACAACACAAGGTGAAAAACGATAAACAGATTAGATGGGTGAACGAGTGAATCAGATTGAAGGCAAATAATGTGAATAAAAACTAAGTGTTTTTTGTTTTCTGTTTTGTTTTAGTGAATCATAATATTCCAATTTATTTTTTTGTATTCAGCCTATAAATGTTCTCACATTTTATTGTTATATTACAGAAACAAGGGGGATGTAATAAGAGAAAGTGGGAAAAGGGAAAAAAAAGAAAGGAAAAGTGTCTACGTGTATAAATCGAAAGTATTTGATAATGAATAAAACAGCAAACGCACACCAACACACATACACACACACAATAAGGATAATAACAATGATGATAATTATAGCAGCTTTAATCTATAGTAGTACTATATACAATTCTTAGTATGTTTCCTATAAAAATGTTTACTCCTGTTTAGATAATGAAGTGATAACAAAAATAAGGGAGGTAAATATTGAAACCATGGGCGTAATGAACAGCTGTTTCGTCCTAGTTTGGCACATGAAGACATGAAAAGATTAGCTAGCTGTGTTCGATCATAGGTGTCTGCGTTCTATCTCCCGTGTGAAGTGGTATAATAAGGTGAGCAATATTGAGGTTAGGCGTCGAGTGGTAGGTAAGGCGGGGAAATCAATCGACGAAACTGTGAAATTACTTCGACTGAGATTGTTAGGACATGTGTTACGTATGCATGCCTAGTCATCGCCTTTCTCGACGGGCAATGTTAGCTGACATAGAGTCAGACTGGAAAAGAGCTAGCGGCGGTCAAACCAAAACATGGCTTCATCAGTCAATGAAATCCACAACAGTTAGTTTAAGCCACGTAGGAAGGTGTAGACTTCCTGACTGGTTGGAGTCCTCGGGACGGTAAAATCCAATGGTTGGAAACAATTGGTGACATGGCTCAAACTCATCGTTCTCAGTGATGGCGCAGATGCATCCACTCCTTGTGACTCATGATTTCCAATGAATCTATTTTATTCTTTGTTATTACTATTCCTTTGTCTCACGCCTCTGTTTACTGTCTATATTATGCATTTCTTCTACTTTCTTCTCTTGCTTTGTATGCTGAGTGAAGTGTGGCGATGTGAACTGCCACACATCGGTGCAAAGTTCTATGTCGAAAACCGACCGACCGAGTTTGGCACACTTCTTCAGTATGTACCAATGACCCCAACAGAACCGTTTCAACTGAATTTCAACCTAGTAACTGAATGGTTGATGGAGTCACCTCATAACCTGAAGGTTCTGGGTACTATCCTCGGAAAAGAGGGTGGTGGACATCATGTCCGCGTACTGTTGAAGAGTTCCAGAGACTAGGACGAAATAACTATCCAGTACCTATTGGAGATTTTTCAGTGATGAAGCATAATGAGAAACCACGTGATATAATTTGTGTATTTCGTAAGTTGTATGGCAAATGTGTGTAAAAGTGCCTACTAGTACAAGTCTCACATGTAGTAAGGGTGTAGTTAAATGAATGAAATAATGTAGAATGCAATAAAAAAAGACGTGGATTTTGTTAATTGACTGATAGTTGCCAGCAGTGAAATCCAGGGCGTGTTTCATCCTATTTTGGACTCACTCATCAGTAGATGCATATACTTGAAACCCAGTGGAGAATAACTTACTTAGATAAAAACTTTCAGTTTATTAAAAAGTAGAAGGGAGCAGCTGAAGAGGTGTCAGTAAGATATATTCTACAATTACAAAAGAGACTCCTCATCAATCAATCATGAACAAATGTTACACTGGCATAATACAGATTTGACTGACACACACACACACACACACACATATTTTAAGTACTTCAGACATTATATACTACTAATTAAGTGTATTTTGACTAGTAGTATGAAAAAGTGAAGAGCTTCTGATTGAGCCATCTTCTAACAAAGAGTACTACTAAACACCATATAGTGAGAAATGTACACTCAGTACCAGCACACTCAGTAAAACAAACACACACACACACACAGTTGGTGGTAAAATCAGAAGAGAGAGAGAAAAAAAAGAATAACTGGATTAAATCAAAATTTAAAATGATATTTTGAAGAGGTATTACTAATATTAGTAATAATAATAATATCTCAGCTATAAACCATCAGTCTAACTAAGTAATGATGTTTTGCGCAGAGATATGTAACTTACATTTCAGTTTATCCAATGTTTAAGTCTTTTTTCACATAGTGGTTATGCAGTATGTTGATATGTATTATGCTTTTTGTAGCTGTTCTTCCACAGTTGTATGAACAGCATCATATAGTCAAGATGTATCTGTAATCGTCAAGGAGAACTCATGTGTCTTCGGCGATTCAAACCCGGTTCACCTAGTATTGCAATTAGAGAGATATCACCACTGAGGCCACCAACGATCAAATAAAACGACAATCCAATTTTTAATTTGGTTATTTTAATTTTGATTATGGCTTGAAACCACACCGTATTTTTGGTACAAGTATGGAGTTTTCAGCATGCGATAGCGATCGGTAGCCCAAATTTTGCAGGCCGACCATTGATACCAGATGTGCGTCGGCATGGGATCGAATGCCGGACCGTTTGCATGGTCGGCGAGAATCCTAACCACTGTGCCACCGAGTTCACTGTGTTGGTAAGCCAGCTTAGTATGGTAGCTACTAGTACCTAAATCTCTATCCGTGATTTCTATAGTTAGTCTGAAGGTATTTCTTCTCGAATTCCGTCTCTGACTGGTTACATCACAAAAACGATAGCATGGAAAAAGAAAAGGTGATTAGTTTTATATGCAAGCCCGTAGAATAATGGAAACTACCGAAATAATAATAGAAGATTTGTAGGCTCAGGTGGATGATTTGGAATTAGTTGTATGTTCTCTTAGCTGCTGGTTGGTTTAATTGCGAAGCTTTCGTCGTCCTTCTGGACAATATGTTCAGCGCGAGTTTTAGCATAAAATGAACTCATTTGAATTGTCTCTCTGGCTGGGGGTTAAGCAAAGCTAAATTTATATCATGATTTGAAATTCACGGACCATTGGGTCAGATCCCAGTGGCTGAATTGTCTACAAGCTCGTTCGCCTTGTAACCAGAAGGTCCTGGGTTCGAACCCCGGTGATGGGTGCCTACTATGAAGAGCCCAAGCTAGGCTGACGAAACGGCTGTCTAGTACTCCAAGATGGTTTTCCAACGGGTCTCTAACCAATGTCAGCAAGTGACCAATTCCGTAACCAATTAAATCCCCGCAAACCAACACTTGATGATGGTTATTTACCGCCGAATATCTAATCAAAAATAATCGAATATGGCGGATAGCATCACTACTTTAACACAAATATGTACTTTCCGACAAAAGCAGACATACATCCTCCAGAGAATTATTTCAAAAAGCAAATTAATCATATTTACAAGAAAGGTTTCATCCTGACCAAACGAATCACCTGATGCCAGGCCGATGATTGACAATAATAATAACAAGATGGTTAATTGTATGTAGGCTTTGGGGTAATTGAGATAACAAGGCCCAGGTGAAGTATTCACATACAAAAAAACAACATCTAATTTGTTGTTCAATTGCCTTTAAAGTGTTTATTATTTTTCGGCCTTGTAGATAACTTTAAAGGAAGAGACTATAGAAATAAGGTGGCTAGTATCGACGATCAGGTGTTCAATTATTGCACTTATTCTGTCTGTCTGTCTGTTTTCAACATAGAACTTTGCATCAATGTGCAGCAGTTCAAGTCGCCACACTCCATGTAGCACACAAAGCAAGAGAAGAAAGTAAAAGAAATGCATAATA